TTGAATAAAGGTGATATGTTTTCACAGTGTGAAAGGATAGCAAATTGATATTCTGTCACAATGTGAAAAGATATTAAAGTAAGTAAAAAATGATATCTGGCCTGTAATAAAATAGAGATAGTAACTAAATAATCTTGATAAAGACTAAAAGTGTCGATTTCTTTCAAAAAAAGTTGCTAAATTCCATATTACAATGTTTTTAAGTACATTTCTGTGTAAAAATCATGCAAAATAGGCATGTAGGTGATATATGAGGGTTCTCAGAATTTGATGATTTTCCACACATAGTTTTCTTTTGACCTATGAACCATGTATGCAACAATAAAAATGTTTTGATTCACGGTTACTATGGAAACGGGTAAAGAAATTTCCCTAGCACTCGTGAAAACATCACAAAACCCTGTCCCACTCGTGAAATAAATTCCATATCCAACTACAAAACATTAAATATCCTCTATCTCTTTTGGAGTTGTTTGTGATGTTGTGGAGTCAGAACAATGACGTGAATAAGTCCTCTGGCGATATGATTTCAGCATTCCGTAGTCAATTGTAGTCTTGAAAAACACTCTGTGCAGTTCAAGGATAGCTAATCATGCTGTATTGTGAAACGCTGATGAAACTGTACAAACTATTGAAGTGATCCTATGCTGCTGATGTCTACCATATTTTTGGCCATCATTTGTTGTACTATACTATCTGTTTTATAGGTTAGAACTCTTGCAATTGTAGAACGTGGTATACCTGCTTCCAGTCGTCCAATTTCCTTTTTGCAATATGCAACATTTAGATGCAACATTTTTAAATAGTCAAAATATCGAGAACCCCAACTTTTGGTAGCCCTTTAAAGTTGATCCTAAAGGATGTGGATAAGTAACCAACAAAAATATTATATTCCAATATGCTTTTCTTTTATTAAACAACATGGCAACATTTGTTTAATTTTTGCTTATTTATTGCAGCCCGGAGGACCGGGCTGCTCTATACATATAAGTTTAAGTGTTGGTATATGGAGATTGAGGTGGGAGAAGTTATTCAGAATTAAAGGTTTTCTAAACATTAAAAAGATTGTTAATCAGAATGTTCTTTCCCTTTATAAATTACGAGATACACAATATATTTACTTCCATAAAGTGAATCTGTAAAAATATATATGTTTTTCATATTTAATATATAAAGTTGCTTATCATTTACTATCGAAAAATCATTTACTATCCCTTTTTTTAGAACATCGAATTTTACTTATCGCATAAAAACGTAAAAATGTACTTTACACAAATTCGTGTTTTATATTCTTAAAGTGAAAGATATTTTTGAAAATAGGTGATGCATGTGTCTGGTTTCAAATTATATTTTATGCAGCCAACATTTACTTGAGGAATTGATAAAGTTTAAAAGGGTATCGTTTTTGTTCGATTTTCATCCGACTATAAGTTTTCAAAATATTCTCGACTATCGTCTCCATCATTTAGACGCATGCCTTTTTCACACATATCGAAGCGGTTTGATGATAAAGACTCATTTCCATTGTTTGCTTTATTTATTTCCCGGGCGACAATTGATGGTTACATCAATGTTTTCTTGTTTATATTTTCTCAATATGATCTGATCTACGTTAGTTATGAGGAGAAATGCTGTCCAGACAGTTGCACTGCTGAGACATGCATATCCTAGAGCAGTCCCTTGATATCTTTTGTAGTTCCTGGTGTAAGGGAGATAATTCAAATTACTCATCACCTCTGTATTGCCTAGACTCAACATTATTTTTATGCCCCCGCATCGAAGATTCGGGGGATATAGTTTTTTCCCTGTCCGTCCGTCTCTCTGTTTGTCCGCAAAAACTTTAACATTGCTCATAACTTTTGATTGGTTGGAGCTATGGCTTTCATATTTCACACGTGCATTTCTTGCGATAAGACCTTTCTTTGGGAACCATCATATTGGACCTCGACCTTGGAATTTGACCCAGTTTTACAAAATTTTACCCAACATTAATCTTGGCCATAACTTTTGAACAGTTGATGCTAGGGCTTTCATACTTCACATGCGTAATCCTAGTTACAAGACCTTTCTTTGGATACCAACAAATTTAACCCTTTAACCTTGACCTACAAAATATGTAGGAGTTTGACTTAATTAAGAAAAACTTTAACCTTGGCCATAACTTTTGAATGGTTGGTGTAAGGGCTTTCATACTTCACATGTGAAATCCTTGTGACAATACCTTTCTTTGGATACCAACAACTTTAACCATTTGACCTTGATCTAGGAGTTTGACCTACTTTTGAAAAACTTTAACCTTGTCCATAACTTTTGAATGGTTGGTGCTAGGGCTTTCATACTTCACATATGTAATTCTTGTGACAAGACCTTCCTTTGGATACCAACAAAATTGACCATTTTACCTTGACCTTGGATTTTGACCTACTTTTGGAAAACTTTAATGTTGGCCATAACTATTGAACGGTTGGTGCTAGGGCTTTCATACTTCACACGTGTATTCCTTGTGAGAAGGCCTTCCTTTAAATTCCAACAATCATTCCCCATTGACCTTGGAGTTTGACCTACTTTTGAAAAAACTTTAATCTTGGTCATAACTTTTGAACAGTTGGTGCTAGGGCCTTCACACTTCACATGTGTCATTCTTGTGACAAGACCTTACTTTGGATACCAGCAACTTTGACCCTTTGAGTTTGACCTAGAAGTTTGACCTATTTTTGAAAAACTTTAACCTTGGTCATATCTTTTGAATGGTTGGTGCTAGTGCTTTTCACATTTCACATGTGTGTTTCTTGTTAGAAGGACTTTCCTTGGGCACCATTAATTTTGAGCATTTGACCTTCACCTTGATGTTTGACTTACTTTTAAAAAACTTTAACCTTGGTCATATCTTTTGAATGGTTGCTGCTAGGGCTGTCATATTTCACGGTTATTTTCATCGAGACAAGACCTTTGGGTACCAATTAACATACACTGTATTTGATTTGCATTCTAGAAAGTTTAACCTTTGTTATGAGGTGCCATACGGGGGCATCAGTGTTTCACGAACACATCTTGTTTTTTATAGGCTACCAACCATTTACCCCAGGAAAATTTCAATTTCTTTTAATCTAAGGCCTCATCGTTCCATGGAATTAGAACTCTTTGAACAATGTTCAGTACACATAGGGTCTGCATGCAGGAGGGCGCGTTTTACTAAACATAAAGGACATACATGTATGTACACAGGTTAATCACAGGCACTTGTTTCTGTAATAAATTGTTTAACCCATAATATAATAATAACACACGTATTATCATTATGCTATGGGTTAAAAATTTATTATCGAAACAAGTGCTTGGGAGGTTAATTTAGAGTGACACAAGCCAAGTATCAAAGAAACAAAATAAACAAAACAAACAAACAAGAAGAAGAAGAGGAAGAAGAAGAAAACCAACTCGGGATAAATGATGAGGTTCGGGATACTTTTTCCGATCTTGAGGAAACGTCAGTCTGTGGGCTAAAATGCACATATTAAGCATTGTTCGAGTTATTCCCCTTCTTTCATTGATCAGATTCTGAGAAGGTAAAAAAAAAATCTCTCCACTTTCTGTTTTATTTCCTTGTCACACATGTCACAGTCCCCCCCCCCTTTTTTTTTTGGTTTAAATGTCTTATTTTATTACAGAATTCCAGTTGAATAACATATTCTATTAAAAAAAAAAAAAAAAAAAAAAAACCATGACACAATTTTAAATCTTTCTGGGGTTAGAGTATACAGGTCGCTTGACTGTCCTAACTACACTGAGGACTGACTTAATCTGTTAATAAAGTTCTTATCTTGTAAGTAGTTAACCCCAGTATTACCGTGTGTACTTACATAAATGTGATCATATAACATTAGGCCCGTTTTGTAGCTGCCTATAGCATTTGTAAGATTACAGCTGGTACATAATTGCTGTCAAATATAGAGAAATGCAGAGCACACGTGCATACATGTAGAAGTTTTAGGAACACAGGTATACTTCCTCAAACAATTAATTTACCTGTCATGATCGTAACGCTATTTCTAATGTTATTTAACTTTGGAGTAGTTTCGTTGCATGTGCACACATAAGATATTTTCAATAGCATTAATATTCATGTGAGGAAAAAAATATAAGATGCATTTTACACAGTGACTAATTATAACCAAGGGACTGATCAAAATTTATTGAAGCACAGGACCAGTGCAAAATGCATTGGGAAAGGACTTTTTTCGTTTGTTCAAGTAATGGACTGCAATTTTTTTTCAGTTAATGGGTATGGGAATTCAACTTTAATTTTTCAAATAAAAAAACAATTAAAGAGAAAATAATACTCAAAAGTACAACAAACTTGGAAAAAGCTAGTTATAACACACAAAAATTCACAATTAACCAACATGTAGGCCTATGAAAAAAAAATAATAAAAAAAAAATGAGGCTTTCTAAAGGCGGACAATTGTTAATTGTCGGTATAAATGGATTGCATAAACTGTGTCAGAGAAAGTTAAGGTTTATACCATATATGTTAGTAATAGAGGACACCAACTTTTTTTGCAAGTAGGGAGCATTGGATGTTAAGGATTTTTAAAATGAATTTGCATCGGTCCCCCATTCTTCGATATAAATTTTGACCAGTCCCTTCAACATACTAGTATATTTATATAGGTCTCTGTGGAAATGGGAAAGTATGTACACTGAAATTGTAGCATGACTCTCTCTCTCTCTCTCTCTCTCTCTCTCATAAAAATATCCATGGATGCGATTGGTTCCGTCGCAGGAAACCCAATCAGGTTGGCTATCTCAAAATGCAATTCATGAAAATGATGAAAATATATCTTTTTCATAATTACTAAATAACTTACGTTTAATTTTACATAATGATTTTATTGAAAACCTCTTGTACAAATAGGTAACGAGTAAATGACACATTTTTTCCTCTTATGATTATTTAGACCGGAAATGGACAATTACGCCTTCTGAAATCACCCCCAACGAGAAATGCACATTGAAGAGCTCCAATAATGGCTACGCTGGTGGAGGGTGAAAAGTATGGGCTCTCTTCCACTTCAGCAAATAACGAGCAAAAAAGCGTAGTCCATGTTAAATTAACGGATTCCGCATTAAAGGCGATAGAAGATTTACTTAAATGCAAGGTGAGAAGTTTTTATATGCTGTAGTTTAAGAGAAAATGAACTGAAAAGTCGGAACTGCGAATCGACAAAATTTTGCCTACTCAACAATATGTCCGAAATAGACTGGTCCTGGACTTCTCTTTCATTTATTTACCTTAAATTCAATGAAAGTTTGTTTCCTATTTAACAGTTTTAGTATTTTGTTTCTAATTTCAATGTTTGGTGACATTTTTAACGGGATTTGCAGTACGTGCTATCAGTCACAAACTTTGGCAATATGGCTTTGTCCATTTTTGGAAATGTTGGATGGTGTCGCTGAAAAGTTGTCCAACTCAATGTCTCTTAAGTTTAGATAAACTAGTTAATAGGGCTAGTTTAAAACAACGAACGTTTTCTAAAAAAAATAAACAGTTTACTTTTGTCTACAGTTGATTTGACAGGCATATTTCACTCCATATGTTCTCTTGATCACTGTTGATTGTCTCAAAGTTGGGGATTTTCTGTCGAGTGCTAGTTTAATTGTGAGAATAAGTATAAATTACAGTACCTGGAAATTTTAAACATAAGCAGTTAATTTATTTTATTTCATCAAGCTACCTCTACATTAGTAGGATATATTGTATTTGTTGTTTGACTTCAGATAATCTTAATCCTGTGGTGTCAAACTGTCAGAGGGTAAAGTGATAGTCCTAATAGTTTCATTATGTCTTAAAATGTAAATTGATGGAAAATACAATATATTTTCAAGAAACAATGGAAATTAAATAATGTAAAGAACACAGACACTCACCGTGCAGCAATGTTTTATATATGATCCCGCAATATTGAAAGAACTGAACATGCCTTCATACAGGAATTGCTTTCTACAGCTAGTTTACTGAATTTTTTTCTTCAGATCAAATTACAGATGGGTAATTGCATGGAATAAAGGGGGGTTGGGGAGGGAGGGGGTTGTCAGGGTTTAGCTCTGACTTAATGATTGATTTTTGTTTGTTTGTTGTTTAACGTCCCTCTCAAGAATTTTTCACTCATATGGAGACCCCACCACTTGCCGGTGGAGGGCCGCAAATTTTGACATATACTCGGCATTCAGGGCCATTGTGAGGGATCTTTTTTGTGCCACACTGCGACACAGGACCTCTGTTTATAGGGTCTCATCCAAAGGACCGGTCTCCTTGTCCCTCAGTAGGATTTGATCCCGCGACTTAAGGATCAATTCCTTACACCGCGACTCTATAGCAAACACTCTAAGCACTGTGCCATGAGGGCAACTCTTAATGATTGAAAACTGTATGATTGAAGTTCTCACTGTTACAGCAAAACAGCAAATCATAAAGCCACACCATCATACTTTTTGATACTGTATAGGGTACTTTTCACCCTGTGAAAAGGGCCAAAAATTTCTCTGTATACAGTAGTCAAATAATTCTGAAGAATGCCTGCATTGACTGAATTAAATGTAAAAATAATTCAAATTAACCCAGTTGGATCACATCCTGAAAGTTTTGAGGTCAAACAAATATATTGGATGTCAGCTAGTAAACAGATACATAAGTTAGGGAAACATTGTGTACACAGTGTGCACCAGATTTTACTTCTTTCTGTTATTTATCTATGTATCCATAATTATGTATGTTTTATCACTGTACAGTGTATTAACATTTTACACAGAAGGCACACTAATAATTGTTGATTTCTTGATTGAGTGTCTTGTTTTTTTTTTTTTTATTTATTTGTTTTTTTTGTTTTTTGTTTTTGATTGAATTGCTGAACTTCAAAAAGTCATCTCGATATGTAAGTAACAGTAATAAACAGATTTGTGACTTTTAATTTATGAGGTGATTTGATGCGAATAATGATTGTAGGTGATATTACGTAGAAAAAAAGGTGTGTAGTTGGTAATCAAAAATCAAATCCTAATTACTGAGGAAATAGTTGAAATCACAAGTGTGTGTGTATAATACAAGAGTGCAGCAAAGCAGTAGATGTTTGTATACAACACCAAACATGCATCCTATAGTGACAATCTTGTATATATTACAACATGATGTCCCTGACACCTAAGTACTAATCAGTTCTGGTCCCCTGGGGATAGTGTCTTCTACAACATGGCCCACAGGATCTTCAGTACAATGCTAGCTTCCTCACAGTTGATGCTTATCTCTGCACATTCAGTTTCGTTTTCATCTAATCAGTAAAATCCACTATCATTTTTCAAATACTTAACACACAATATGCAATATTACATAATATCTAATATGATGATATAGTGATAATCTACTTCATGGTCACTTCTGCATCATTTAACTATATATATATATATATATATATATATATATATATATATATATATATATATATATATATATATATATATATATATATATATATATATATATATATATATATAATTATTGTTAATTACATTAAAAGGAAACAGAAATTAATGATAATCATTTTGTACTAATGTCCTGAACAGCTTCAAGTCAGCAAGTGACTTGTACTATCTTTGGCTTTATCTGGTACAGTTATGTGGAGGCGAGATCTGTGTTTTTAATTTTAAGGAGTGCCATGTAATGCCAGAAAATCAATACACATTGTGTTTTCATTGAAGAAGTGCAATAAAAACAAAATCACACTCTCCGGATTATTGTCGTGTTATCAAGTGGCATTTAAACACATTTAATATTCTACACATGAACTTAATGCATAATTGACAAGAGAGAAGATTGGTTTTGTAAGACAGCTGAGAAGCAATTGTACATGTATTAATTAGCATTTAATTTTGATACACTTGCATGAATAGAAATCATAATACATGCATTAGGCAGGAATTGAAGATAATATACTGTACAATTGGTCAAATTCCTTATATATCATGTATATAAATGCACCTTTTAGTTTAATATTAAACAATGGGGCAGGCTAAGATGATATCATTTTATGACTTGGATCAGATTTACAGTATTAATTTCACTAGAATCAATGGATAATTAGATCTGACATATGATTTAGGATATTTCTTTTAGGCCAAATAAAAAAATATGTGTGGTTCCGGTTACCCGACCTTCCCTATTTTATACCCCCGACCCTAACCTTTTTTTTGGCAATTTTCATATTTTTTCCGGAATTTTCCCCGATTTCCATCAATGGCTCCGGTTTAAGTTTTAGTTTCAGCAATGACGGCCATCTTGCAAAACATAGTGCTAGTATTTAATAGTGTTAAATCCAAAGCAAGCTAGCATGTAGGTGTCCCCTACCAATATTGACTAGTATATTATCACACCACATCTAAATGCCATTTGAAAAGCAGTGATAGGTATTATTTGGAAAAATTAAGAAAATCATTTTGTTCCAAAAAAAAAAAAAAAAAAAAAAAAAAAAAAATTACCTACCTACCTACCCTAATTCTTTTGGAAGTGTAACCGGAACCACACATATTTTTTTGTTTGGCCTTATATATCTAGAGAGAGAGAGAGAGAGAGAGAGTACATTATAACAGAATCAGATATAGGATATATAACAATGAATTGAATGACAGAATCAGATGTGTGATATTACAATGACAGAATCAGATGTGTGATATATTACAATGACAGAATCAGATGTGTGATATATTATAATGAATTGAATGACAGAAACAGATGTAAGATGTACTTATTGACAGAATCAGATGTGTGATATATTACAATGAAAGAATCAGATATATATATAGGATATTTTACATTGGCAGAATCAGATGTGTGATATATTACAATGACAGAATCATATGTGTCAGTGTGATATACTACAATGATAGAATCAGATGTGTGATATATTACAATGACAGAATCAGATGTGTGATATTACAATGACAGAATCAGATGTGTGATATTACAATGACAGAATCAGATGTGTGATATTACAATGACAGAATCAGATGTGTGATATTACAATGACAGAATCAGATGTGTGATATATTACAATGAAATAATCAGATGTGTGATATATTACAATGAAATAATCAGATGTGTGATCTATTACAATGACAGAATCAGATGTGTGATATTACAACAAAATCAGATGCAGGATATAATACAATGACAGATTCAGATTAGGGCTGGGACAATATATCGAGATATCAATAATATCGATTCAATATGAGGATGATACGCCTATCGATACATATGAGGAAGTATCGAAATATCATCAAAAAAATTCTGACTTATGTTTTTCTTTGTTTACTTAACATTTTGGGTTAAATATATGAAATAAATATGCTGAATTTATTTAAGGTTTATAAAGCATATACTGCCCCAACCCAGTTTATACTGAATAAAATGGGTAGCTATTAAATTCATTCCTTATAATTTAATTTTCATTCATTTGGAGTTAGAAAAAAAGATGATTGTCTTTAAAAATGACTACAATTTGTTCAAAATTTGAATGTAACGTCAGGCGGATCGATTCGTTTTTGACGCAACTCATTGTGACCTAGGCAACCCATTTTATACGACATAAAGTAATTTTTTTTATCCAATCAAATACAGCGTTACAACTAGAATTAAATTATATAAATATAAATGTATAAAAATTAATACCACATGTGTAAAGTGATTTTGTTTTACAACAGATATACAACTTCTTTGAATAAATTATTCTTATTTGCGAAGAAATATTTCATTCATTCTAGTACAAAAAAAATTATAACCAGTTTAACATATCGTGATACATATCCTATCGTGGCTCAGATATCGTGATACGTATCGTTATAGAAAAAGTTGTATTGTCCCAGCCCTAATTCAGATGTAGGTAATATATTAGAATGACAGATTCATATGTAGGTTATATTACAACAACAGATTCAGATGAAGGATATATTACAGTGACAGAATAATTCACTGTAAATGTATATACAGTATATATATGTTGTCCCATAATTGTTCCTCCTTTTAATTATAACATGTTGTAAAGCTGTAACTATAACACCCTGAGTCTTGGGACAACATGTTTAACTGAAGGAGAAGAACAGAGACAGACAA